GGTGACACACGGAAAATACGCCACTCGGGTCCCGGATGAAGTGGCGTATGGAATCTACGAGTGGTTTAGTTCCCAGTAAAACACTCTCCTCCATATAATAAAAGCTTTTAAAACATTCCACAAACACACACCCAAAACATAACATCAAGCAGTGCCGGATCCAGACCTTGAGATAAGAGGGAGGCCCGATCATCCAGAATTTTTTTTTTCTGGGGGAGGAGGGGGAGGGGGGGTTGGCAGCGGTCCCCCCTAACATTTTTTCGGCCCTTCGGGCCTCATTTTTGTCTAAAAATAAGAGGGGGGCCAGGGCCCTCCCGGCCCATCCCCTGGATCCGCCATTGTCAAGTGGCCAGCACCTTTAATTGTACGTTAATGTTATCAAGAAGTCCGTAATCAAAGTCCTGGCCACGAGGAAGCTTTGGTCTGCCTTCGGTTAGAACTAGTAACACGTTGGGTTTGTCTGATCTATCTCCTTTTGAAATGGTAAATAGTTCGTTTGCCATTTGCAGAGCCAGGTCAGTTCGAGTTGGAGATAACAGCGTTCTAGGGTCACTAGCGATTTTTTGCAGCAAGGTATTCTGCAGATGGAATAACATAAATACAGTTTAAGCTAGATAAAGTATTTAAGACATGATCCACAATATGCATGAGTAATACCCAGAGAGAGTGGTATTATCAGAAAGCAATCACAGATGGGAGAAAGGCGATAAGTTAAAACTGTAAGTTCCCTCTTTAGATTATATGTGAATGACTCTAATGACTACCACTTTGACCCACCCAGCCCATGATGGGTATGATTTGCTATGATAATGATGATGATGATGATGATGATGATGATGATGATGATGATTACATGATGCAGTGATGGCGATGATGATAATGATGATGATAACGATTCGTTTAGCTTTATAGGCGGGCTGTAGCTAGGAGAGCGGATAAAATTATCTCAGGTTTGACGATAAACAGCACGTTTGCATGGTTAACTTAGCAATTAACTGAAAATTGATAATTGGACGTAAGTAAGATACAGGGGCATCCAAAGACTTTTTTCTCTAAAATATCTTTTCGGAGAAGCAGATGTTGCCTGGAATTTTCTGGTACTTGAGGTCGTCTAAAAGTTTCTAGGTTACCGTTCCATTCATGTCCAATTTTGGAAGCTTATCTAATAAATTTTCTACGCTTTTCTCAAGTTTTATTTTTTCACATTGCACTCCTCGGGTTCGGATACTTTTCGTAGAAAAAAGGAGACCTAATTTTTTGCATTCAGAAAGGCGATGGAGCCGAGAAATCAGGGAAATTCTCACTTTCGTATACGTTAAACTGAATCTAAAATTTTCGGGAAAGTAACACTGAAGCCCTTGTAGTTTCAGGAAGACTTACGTTTCCCTGGGATGACCAAACAGATACAAATTTTATAGCGCCGCTTGGAATGCATTTCTAGAGATCTAATAGTACTCTGGATATCCTGAAAAGTGTTCTCAATGTATTGTAGTAGGAGGAAACTGTCGTTGGGTGTCCCTGAAGATTGGTGTGGAATTTCCGGGTGTTATCAGCTGCGTGCCACGTAACATCAAATAATTAAAAGTTACTTAAATCAAGTCTATCGATTCTCACATCCTTTATTTATTGCGTTATTAATAATGTTTTCCAAGAGAGGGTAAAGGGGACAGAGAAGGCATCCCCCGTACACCCCCTATTCCATAGGTAATTCGTCTCGAGTTATTCTTAAGACTACAGATCCCGAGGGGGATTAGACAACAGCCAATCACATAGCGCGAATCTGTTCCGCGTGGATGACCCACGCTCAGAGCCACGCGTCCTTCACGAATTGACGCTGAAAAAAATGGCGCAAGACGCGGAGAGCGATATTGCTATTCGTTTTGTCCACGAAAACGACTAAAGAGAGATTTCTGCTAAAGCTGTGTCAGCGAAACAGAAATTAAAAAAGAATCGCCCTTCCTCTCTTGTATAGAGCTAACAGTACAGCAGGGAAATCCTTAACAGACTGAATATTCTCTCAGGATCATTTATAATTACAGTTTGAAGAGAGCAATTTCTGGTTTGATATTTACTCTTTTATTAGTCTTTTATTATTCAACAAAAATAACACTTGGCGTCCTACTTGCTTTATTATACAAACGACCGGTTTCAAGAGACCGGCGAAATTTCTCATTTTATTAAAGCACTGAGGTTACGAAAAAACTGATTTCACGGGTTTTCCCAGGTGAGCGCCGACTCATTTTGTTTCAATATTCAGAAATGCTCTCGATCTCTTTACGCTTTCATTGCCTTTCGCCCGATATGTTTTGCACGGCGTTTAGTCATGCGAAACTTCCACGAAACATCCACGCAGCGCGCGAGGTAACTTTATCCTGATTCTAAAAATAACTCGAGACGAATTACCTATGGAATAGGTTATGTATGGGGGATGCCTTCTCTGTCCCCTTTATCCTCTCTTGTGTTTTCTCAATATAAGCACTTTTATTCCATATCCTTCCACGTTCTTAAAGCCTTCGTCACGCTTTACTTTCTCACGAGCGTGCGCAGGGAAGAAAGGCTGCATGGAGGTGAGCACTTTTATGGACTGCTATATAATATGCAGTCTAACCTCTCCTTACCGACAACTCTATAACACGGACAACTCTGTAAAGCGGAGACTTGGTTCTGTCCCTTTGGTGTCCGTATTAAAGAGGTTTGACTGTATATACCTTATCACATTAATATTAATAGGAAATCAAATCGACTGTTCTTACGATTGAGGAATATAAAGACATGTTCAAGACCCTTTGTCACTTTGCACGATGCATTGCGCTCGTTCTGGAATAGGCCATTTTACAGTTGTGTGCTCGGTGCCCTGGCCTTTGAATAGAAGCGAGGATGGCGGTAACCTTGTTACAAACATTCTTGTTTTTTATTTGTAAATGATCATGTTCACGGGCTTGTTAACATGAGAATATCACGATAAGCACATATTTTAAAAGCAGGAAGGTTTGTAACAAAACAAGGTCACCGCCAGCCTCGCTTTTATGGCCTATTTTGTGGTTCATAAAAATCTCCAGCCGCAGCGAAGGCAGCAAAAATGCATCAGTAACCTGTCTCCCTCGCGCAGTTTGGGTATAATTTTGGCCTTTTTTTTAAAAAATATGTATATTATGTTTACAGCACAGTGTACGTGATTCTCCGCTTTGTGGAGTGGTGGGTGCGAATTTCATGATCAGTCACTATTTGTACCGTTGTTGTTCACATTCAAGATCGCATATAATATCTGTATGGTTAACAATTCCGCATTCATGAAGGACGACGTTCATTAAACCCGCTTTAAAGTTATCCTGTGTTGAACGAGTTACTTCTGAATTATTTAATTGTTGTCGATTGTTGACTGTGAGTTGAGATTTCTCATTGATACGTGACCGATTGACCAGAACTGCTATTTTCTGCACGTTAAATGATAGACTGCAAAGTGTAAATCATGGAAAGTTTCTTCTCTTGCTAAAAGCTTTGTTTTTCGATGTGAAAATAAAGTAAAACTTGATATAATAATATTAAAACTTTTCGATGAGGGTTACATATATAAAGACGGTTTTCTTAGTCTCTAGAGGTTTATTTTTTTGTTGTGGCACAGAAATTGACAGTAACTTCGCCTGCCGGTGCAAATTGCCTTCAACCATCAGAAATTACCTTGCGGTATCCTCGGTCGTTAGAGGTTTATTTCATTTTTGTTCTTATCGTTCGCAAACCTTTGAAGAAAGCACAAAATATTTCCCTGCTTATCCACGGTAATGTTTCTGTTTTGTCGTTGTTGTTGTTGTTGTTTTTTTTTCCGAAGGAGGCGGGGGAAATGTTCTCGGCGACAAATCTAACTGCCACTCCACATGCAGTTTGAGCGGCCCCAGACAAAGTAACTGGATTTTAAAATCCTTGAACTATTCCAACAGGGCCGCTTTCTGGGGCTAAAAAGACACTGACAACCGAAAGTTGAATCGCGGCGTCAATTCAATGGCATGCCATAATTTCTTCCCCCGAGAGAATGCAGCTCGTCCGTTGAAATCAAAATAAACAATGCGCAATGCTTCACGGGAAGCGACAAAAGGTCTTCTTAAAATTATCTTCCATATTTCAGAAGCGCCTTGATAAATTATAGCAAACATCAAAATGAATGGTCTATCATGCGTATGGGTTATACATCACGAGCGGAAGGTATATAAGGCAACTCCTATTTTACCTTGTCGTAATATTGCGAGTCAGCGAAGGAAAACACTAATGTCGCATTCCTACCAAACGTGATTAGCCCAAAGTGATCTCCAAGTGTTGACGGGTGAAATTTGTTAACCAAATCTCCCACAAAAGTTAGAAGCCGATCTAGGTCATCTTGCCCTACACTTCTGGACTTGTCTAGGACGATTTAAATGTCAAGACCTCCAATACAAGGCGGTTTTGTTGGAACTTGAAATAACAACAAAACAACAACAACAACAAATTAGAATGTGATTTTTTAAAACATGATACAATCCTTCATCAAGAAACGAGGCCGAATGGCTCCTCAAGTAAGGATTTATAAATTTGTTGCGCGTGCAGTAGATCGTGTGCAACCGAGTTTCACGAGATACGAGATACGTGTTTCTAGTTCATCTAATCTATTGAGAAAGTCAAGTTGATCAAATTATAGCCAAGGCCTTTTTCTCACTGATGTTGATTCAGTACCTTAATGCAACCGATCGCATTGCTTCTCGTTAAAAAACATGTGTGGCTGTCAAAATGACAGGCGCTGTCCAAATAAATTCTTAATTCTATATTACGTAACCGAGAGTACAAAACTTAGCGGTTAATTTTTTTTCTTTTTATAAACAGTGCGTTTTTTCGTCGTGTTCGTAGTTAGTACCTAGTGGGAGTTTCCTTCAGGACCACAATAAAAAAGCAATACAGACGGAGCGGTTTGTGGGTTATCATCGGCCCCTGGATAGAGAAGCAGTAAATCGCGTCATGTATCTTGCAGGTTTGAACTATGGAAAGCGGGACATTAAATGAATAGTCACCTTTTTACCTGTTGTTATCTTTGTTGTCGTTGTAGGAGGTTGTGTTGTTGTTGCAGGCTCTGTTGTTGTTGGAGGCTGTGTCGTTGTGGGAGGCTCTGTTGTTGTTGGAGGCTCTGTTGTTGTTGGAGATTGTGTCGTTGTGGGAGGCTCTGTTGTTGTTGGAGGCTGTGTAGTTACTGGAGGTTGTGTCGTTGTGGAAGGCTCTGTTGTTGTTGGAGGCTGTGTAGTTACTGGAGGTTGTGTTGTTGTGGGAGGCTCTGTCGTAATTGATGGCTCTGTCGTCGAAGGCTGTGTCGTTGATGTCTTTGAGGAGAAACAAAAACAGAGATTCGTTGAGTCAATGTGTTTTTGATTGTGGGCAGGCAACAAAGAAATAATGCCCTTTGAAAAAAAAAATGATGATATCAACGATAATAATAGCGATAACGATAATTACAATTACAATGATAATGAAAATGATAATAATAGTGATTATGATGATGATGACAAAATAACAGAAGATTATTGTTCAATGATTCGATGGTCCGAAGATAAAATAAGAGCAGAAAAAACTTGAGGTTGTTTATTGTCGCTAAGGTTGAGGTTGTTTCTGAGGTGTGAATTTGTTTTATCCACCCCTCCCTTTCTATTTGCAAGTTGCTTTTTATTATTATTTAAACACGGAAAAAGATGACTTAAATACATGCATTGTAAAAAAAAAAAAAAAAAAAATTATACTCTGTTGGAGGCTGTGTCGTTGTTGGAGGTTGTGTTGTTGTTGGAGGCTCTGTTGTTGTTGGAGGCTCTGTTGCTGTTGGAGGCCCTGTTGTTGTTGGAGGCTGTGTCGTTGTTGGAGGTTGTGTCGTTGTGGTAGGCTCTGTTGTTGTTGGAGGCTGTGTAGTTACTGGAGGTTGTGTCGTTGTAGGAGGCTCTGTGGTAATTGATGGCTCTGTCGAGGTCGAAGACTGTGTCATTGATGTCTCTGAGGAGAAACAAAAACAGAGTTTCTTTGAGTGAATGTGTTTTTGATTGTGGGCAGGTAAAAAAAAAAATGATGATATCAACGATAATAATAACGATAACGAATAATTACAATTATTATAATGATAATGAAAATGATAATAACAGTGATTATGATGATGATGACAAAACAACAAAAGATTATTGTCCAGTGATTCGATGGTCTGAAGATAAAATAAAAGCAGAAAAAACTTGAGGTTGTTTATTGTCGCTAAGGTTGAGGTTGTTTCTGAGGTGTGAATTTGTTTTATCCACCCCTCCCTTTCTTTTTGCAAGTTGCTTTTTATTATTATTTAAACACGGAAAAAGATGACTTAAATACATGCTTGCAAAAAAAAAGAAAAAAAATTATACGTACCCCTGGGAATCCTCAGCAGCCAGCAAACAAACAATAAACCCTAACTGATGTTACTGTAGCTCCCAAAAGAAAGGGAATAGAACCAAAATACTCAACCATTGACCGGACCATGCATTTTATTTTCGGATATCCATTTTTAAGCAGTGGAAATGTAAGCATAATTTTTCATTCGATTTTACAGGTAAAAGTCAATACTTTACCTTCGAGCAAGGCATATACATAGTTTGAGTTTGAGTTTGGCAAGGCGTCTATATCTAAAGTAAATGGGACACAAGCCGTGCTATAATTGAAATCCGAGTGTTAAGGCTGATGATTGTCCAAAAAAGACGCTAAATAAAACTTTATGTCAGCAGATTAAACATTAGTGGAAAAAATGATCTAACTTACAACATGGTAGAAAGATTTCAAAAACTTACGGTGAACGTTAAGTCCAAGAATAGATTAATGCAAATAAAACTAGTTGGAAATCTGGGATAAAGATGATTATTATTCAACTTTCATACACTGTACTAATTCCGATTTTCTGATTGGCTGATTTGTACCACGTGATACTGGGTGGTGACGAAAAAACCCACCTTGACGTCATTATCGTGGTGTAAATTCAACACACCACTGTCATTACACTATGGCTTCCGCTGACTCAAAGTTTGACGATTTGACAGACGCAGATATTGATTCTCTTATTGATGATGAAATTCCTAAAAACACCAAGAAAGCAACTGCTTGGGGAATATCTGTTTTGAAAGGTAAGGTTGCGAATTTTAAATTTTTCATTTAAGCTAGTTGAGGTGTTTTAGCGTGTTGTCAACAGTTTTACCAGCTTTGTACAGTGTATACGTATTCAATTTGAACATTAAAAATGTTAACGCAGTCATTGCTCGTAGATTATCGAGATTTACGTTTACTTGTTCATTAACATGTGCAATGAACTCGAAATTTTCAATAACGCACATTGAAATTTCTCTTCCATTGTTAGTGAACACGTGCGGGTGAATCCCGATAATTCACTCCGCGCTGAGTGCGTTAACCTGTAGTAAATACTGCATTTACATCCTAATTTACATGGGGTTGTTAATACAACTCAAATTACTCTATTAAATTAATGTATAACATATTTCTTTGCTGGGAAATCTTATCTCCAAGAGATCTTGTCGAGCCGAAAAAGCTGTGTTATCACTGTTTCGACGTAAGGGTAGAGGGCGGAGATCATGGGTCGCTTTGATACTTTTGTAAAACTTTTATAAGTTAAATTTACAATTTTAGCTATTGTTTTTAGACTATAAAACAATAGCTACACTTTTAAAATACACTGCACTTGTAAAAGCTCGATTTAATTAACCCCAATTGCTGCACTCAGTCTCCGATTGAACTTTGCATAAACACTTACTTGCTTAGGTAGACATCAAATGCCATCCAGTCTATGAATTTGTCGCGAAACGTTCTTCCCTCGTAGCGATCTTGGAAAACAAGATCTTTCAATGTCCGTTGGTTTCTTTTGTCTCCAAAGCAACCAACTTTCGCGTATTTCACCGAGCCACAGGCTGCAAAGCGATATGCAAGTATTGTGATATATCAAGTAGATCAAGGGAAATTCAACAAAGTTTGAAAGTTATACTTACTCAATACCGTCAAGCCCTTTACTGCTACATGGAAAGCGAAAACAACTAAGAGACATATAATGACTTCCATCCTGAGCCTATAGAGACGTACATAAGAAAGATGAAGGAAACAAAAGGTAATTTCATTAAAATCAGTGAAATTATAAATAGATCAAAGCTTTTTCTAGATCAGAATTTGTTGTCATCTATCATTTCACTAAAACACTTTTAATTAGTAATAACGTTGCCAAAAGGTACAATTGTGAAATGGGTGTCAGTAAAACGCCGAGTAGTAGTCTGTGTCCGGTGGTTATTATTATCATTATCATTATTTTTTTTTTCTGTTGCTTATTTCTTTTTTTTTTTTCTTTTTTTCTGGATCGCTTTTCATTGCCTTTTTCCCCTCCACACTGAAAGATAAACATAATAAAATCCTTCTCTTAGAAAATTGACCCCAATCAGATTGCCTGCGTAAATCGTACCAAGTAAAAGGCCTATTTAACTTTAGCTTAGAGTCACTAAAGTAAAATTGTTAAAATCTTTCTGATGGTTTTAAGATTATATTTTGGATGAACTTATAACGCAAGCCCTGCTTTTGGGTTACAACAGTCCTTGGGATGCGGACGCAGTTCCATTCACTTTTTGAGTTGATTTCATTAAACAAGATTTCACAGAATTGTCTTACTTCTGCGACTAACTAAGTATCCAAAGTACTGTAGTGTTTAACATTTTCGCCAGTTTAAGAACTACGCACATTCATCTCTCATAACTAAAAATTGAAAAGAAAAAAACAAAAAAACGAGGAAAGGAAAGTACATGCAACATTGGAAGACAGAAGAAATTAAACCAGCATGGTACGACTTTTGCCAAGGGGTGTTTATCATTCAATCTAATTTTTGTCGAGTAAAAGATTATGATAAATTGAACACTACCATTGTAAACTTACAATTTTTTAATTCATGGTATTGGAAAACTAGCCAATTTATTTCTTTTCCTAAATTTTGTCTCTCTGTCGTTTTAAAATTTGATTAGTATAACAAAAATAACATAGAACAATTTGAATAATGGGTACTTACTTCTTGTTTTAGTCCGTGAGCGTAACTGTCAGTGTACAGAAGTGACAGATGTACTTCTGTCACCCCTACCTTGGGTTCAAAAACCTTTATTACAATTAGTTAATTTTGTTACCTTTTCTTTATGCTCTGCTTTTGACTGAAAGCAATCAATGAAATATTAATAGAGTGGTTTTCGTTTGAGTGTCGTAAAACCAAAAGCAAAGTAATTACTCTGGCCAATCACATAGGACACAGACAATACATTAAACCAATCAAAACTCGAAGTAATTACATGTGGCTGACGCAAAGCGCGGGAAAATGCATGCGAGCGCGTCACAATTGGCTTTGGTTTTACTTCTGATTGGATGAAAAAGTGGCGCGAATCTTTTAAGCCAATCGCATCGTGTAGAAAGTGCAAAACCAATTACTTTTCGACACTCAAATGAAAACCGCTCTAATACCTGAGTAAATGATGCCGGTTTTTCACCGAGCAATCTTAATTAAAGTCTGCTACAATAAACGAACTAAGTGTGTAATGTAAATTGCCGATAAGTATTTTGAGAAGAGTCATACTGTTTCGTATCCCTTTTAAAGATTTATTCAACAAGCAAAGAATGTATTGGTGAAAATTAGCAAGAGTGTGCAAGATTTACTTCTTAGACTGACCATAAATAGGACGATATGAATGTTATATTAGGCACCTGACAGAAATAGGCAAGAGTACCATAGCCATGACATTAAAGCTTTCCACCCTCGCACAAGATTATTCAGTATTAGCCAATCAGTCAGTCGCGGTCATGCGTTTTTCATCGTGATAAACAGATGTGTGTCTTAAATTCTCAGCTTAGCTAAAAAGAGTAGCACCTTTGTTTGCATTTCAAAGGTTGCGTATCAAGTCTACCAAGCCATATTTTTCCTGTCACAAACCAGACTCCTTCTCAGAGTGGTAGTGGAATTTAAATGAAATTATTTTCTTTCCTTTTCTTTTTGCAAATTCATAGATCCGATGCTTCTTAGAGAAATGCCTCTATGGTTCTTTACTATTTACAAAAAGTTACCGGAAAATCTGACTGGAAAGTAAATGGAACAATACTTTTCGAGTCGTTTCAGTGGGACATTTCAGGGAGCAAGGGAATGTCTGAAAAAGGCAGTCATGTTTTTCCGGTCGGAACCTTCCAAACGGAAATTCATTTTTCATTTCTTCAAAGCCAACTTTGATACCAGTTTAATTTTGTATATGCTTTGGCGGCCGTTTTTTGGTAAATGGAACTGATTTGTGCAAATGATACACGCGATTCCGGAACGAAATTTACCAATCCTAAATTTTGCTTATCGTTTGCATTCACAAACCGTGAGGTAAATGGTAAACATGTTTTCCCCTGTTCGGTCCCAGAACCCCATAACTCGAACTCGGATAACTCGAACTCCCCGCGAACTGGAACTAAGTATAATTTTCCCTGGATTTCACCCCATTTTCCAGTCACTTTTACTCGCCGTTTATAACTCGAACTCGGATTCGAACTCGAATTCCCCACTAACTCGAACTAAATTTCCTTTCCCTTGATCAACAAGTCGCTGAACTTTACCCCAATTACTCGAATTCTGGTTCTTTTAACTCCACTCTCGCGAACACCATCCCGTTAGCTCTTCATGTTGTAAAAGGCCATAAACACTAAAACTAACACTGATCAATAGAGCAATTTGATTTAAATTGTTCAAACGAACAGATCGCGTTTTATCATGAAAAATGCCTAATCATGTTACCGTTTCTGATAAAATAAGTACAATCTGCTCTGCACCATAATAATACTAAAGTGCTGAAAAATCAGTGACTATCCGAATTTTCAACAAGGCAAATTGAATTCAATCGACCCCGATAACTCGACTCCCCGCTAATTCGAACTGTTTTTCGGTTCGCTTCAGAGTCCCAGTTACCGGCGTTCTACTGAACAGTATTTATTTATTTATTTATTTATTTACTCATCCGAACGTAAGGTCGTACAAATCGCCAACTGTTAGTGATTATCAACAGCACATCATACGTTTTCCTGCCTCATGTTTATTTTAATTTTTTTGCAAAGTTTTTACACCACTAGACAACTGCTAGTATAATCGAAAGACCGGAGTGGTTACGTTTCTCCTTCAAAACTAATACCCAGTTTCTTCTTTTTTCCCTCTGCCTCTGCTATCTCTGCAGTGAAGTTCGCCGTCTAGAAATAATAATAATAATAATAATAATAATAAATGGTAAAAATCTAAAGAAAGTTGAAGTTCTAGGAAAAAAGCAATCACACATTTTTAAAACGTAAGAAGTTTTCAAGCACTCGACTGACATTTTTTTGTGCCTGAAGAGCTAACTAAAGAGTTCTTGAATTACTGTATAGCAGATTTTCCACTGGAATGACAGTATGCCCAAACAACTTCGTTTGCCGGTAACGCAAAACTCGTATAGCCGACCTCGGCTGTCTCTACCAAACACTTTTCGCTTTTCCCTTCGAAGACATCACAAAAACAAACAGACAGATCCAACGAAACGCTTCTAACATTCTATATGTCCTCCAAGCAGAGCTTGTTCAGATGCTTTAAGTGCAATTTTGAGAAAGGAAAATTTTTTTAATAGTCATCCAAACTTTCTTGGCTCACACACACACAACCTCATTCCACGGGGATGGGGGTACTCGCTTATATAGCTAATTCAATAGAGGTTGCTTTGGGCTTTGGGAATTGCGCATTGGGAAGCTATTGTTTGATGGTCACTCAACTATGAGTAAATCATTGCATTGTTAAACCCCCTTTATTTACATTATGTAATAGAAAGACAGTGCAGCTTGTGAATACAGCCTTCTCTTCTCGCTCTTGACTTCACTGTTAGAAATGTTTCGCAGGAGAAACGTGCGCGCTTTAACGACAGAAATTCCTAGAATCTTTCCAGAATCCAGTGATACAGTAATTCTGATATTATTTTATTGTTATCGCTATTGTTTTCGAATGAAAGACAAAGGGAATGAAAACGCGATGAATCTAATATGAAAACAGACATTATTCGTGGAACATTTTCTTCTTGAGAAAAAAAAAAACGAATTTCAGCTGGAATTTGATTTTGCTGCAGCTCGTTGGAAAAAGAACTAAAAAATAACAACAATAAAGCAGGAGAACAAAAAGTCGAGCACATATTACATTGGGAACCCAGAGACTACCACACTGATTACGTCATTAGTATGGAGTTACCCTGTCGTTGAGGCACAGACGTCCCTTCTGCGAACCTTCCATGGCGCCAGAAAGGAGCGGGAAGAGACGGCTTTTTTTGAAAGCGCAGATTGCAAGATTATAGGCCATTTCTTAATTGTGTCAAGCCTCTGTTTCAAGGCGAGACCAAGTGCAAGGCCATTAATACGAAAATTATTCTTCTATTCTCATGCAAGTAATATTCATTTTCACAAGAGAGATTTGCACTTAGCCTCATTTTGAAAGTGACAGTTTTTGGAACTCGGAAGTGGTATATTCAGTTAAAACAAAAAGGGTGTACCTTGCTTATATCCTCAGACGGTCGGAGTTGGAGGCGGCTTGGTAGTTGGACCTACAGAAGAAGCATTTATACAGGGGGGACAAAAATTTTCACATGACCAGGTGGAATATGCACCTACAGGTGAGTGTACTGCTCTGTGGTTAAACTGAACTGTTGTTGTTCTTGAACTGTTGCTGACAGTGACTGGTGTTTCGACAGCCTGTGTGGTAGTCATCTTCAGAGTCAAAGTCAGTTGTATCTCGTCAGTTGATGGTGTTGTGGTTCAATTTTATCCTTGGTTAAAAATACATTTCCCATTGTTTTAAACTCATCATCATCCATTACCATACCTCAATACAAAGGGAAATAAAGTTTAAACCAAAGATAAAATGCTTATTACAGAGCGAGTTGATTGGTCAATCAGGTCACTTCAGGTTTATCAGTCAGGTTAGGTGTACTTACATAATGGCGTGTTTCTTGTCTCTTCCTGGGTTTCATCTCCAGGACATTCCAGGGGAAGTCCTTCACAGCTTGGCAGCCAGACCTCAATCTCTTTTATCAACTGTGTGCGGCGCCGATATGCGTTACCGCATGTCGCTGACCAGGCGCTCCAGGGATTGTAACTGCATTCTACTGTGTAACACTCTTCACCTGGTAACAAAAGGAAAATGAATACAAATTTTCAATATGGCTTGGGGATCATTAATGGTGAGTAATTATCGTTCTAAAAGCATGGAAGAAAGAAAAAAATTCCCACCCTTATGACTTCAGCTGTACTACATCGTGGCTACAACTCTTGTCAAAAATCATGTGACACGAACGCGATAGCTCGTCAAAATGACGCACCCCTACCCCCATCGCGCCGGTGTAGTGTTGACTGTATGGATTCAAGTTTCTTTTTTTTAGCTTAGCAGAGAGGGAAACATCAGAAATAGGCTCTTCCAAAAACATTCGCAAGCTTTAAGAAGAAGTAGAATACGAATTCATTTTGCAAAGTGTGTCTCCGCACCTATTTTCCTCAAGGGTACCAAAAGTGTTTTCAACAGAGTTGTAGCTTTGTGATATCTATATACAGCTGTAAATTCGTTATTCTTATTAATCATTTGTTAATATTAACCAGTTG